AATGAGAATGTAGTTCATATGATTGAGTGCAAATAAATAACGAAATATTCATTGATGGGTGTAGAGTTAGAGGACTTTAAAGTGACATATTAGTTTATTGTTTTAGTTTTATTGTTTTAGTTTCTGATACGAGAATGTTAGCCGCCATGTGGAGGCAATTGAGGGAACTCGAGAGTGAGAGCTAGTATCTTCCATCCCTACCTGGTCTTCAAGTTTATTCAAACTATAGATTAGCCAATGTTCTTTATAGCATCTTTAGTAAGGGTAAAGAATATTATTTCACAACACAATTTGCATACTTCCATAATAGAATTCATATACTTATTATTGACTCATGATAAGAAGAAAGATATTTTCATATTAAGTACTTTTCTTGTACAAAAACTTTAGGTATTATTTTAAGTTGTTACTGCTTTGTTAAAATATCAAAAATACCAAAAATATTTAAATTTTAAATTCCTGCAAAAATCATTTTTTGTTTAAGTAATTATCTTTTTAAAAATAGAAAAACTTTTTAAAAAGTGTCTATTGCATAATCTTCCCTGTGGGTTCGATATTCAAGTCTTAATCAAAAAGTCTTATATTACTTGATAACGATACGTATAGTTGCGTAGTATCTCAATATAAATATATATAAATTAAACAGTTAATTCTTATTTTTCTTCAGGATCAAGTTTTTTGTTTTGTTGCAAAATAATGAAAATATAAGTGAAAAATACCATCAAAACTATTGTTATACTGTGAATAAGCATTGTGTATGGGATCAGGTCCCCTACATAATAATAAAGCAAGATATAAACTAAGAGAAAAATGAGTCTAATTAATAAGGAGATACACTGCATACCCAACCATAGGCCCCCTCACCTTCTTGAAGACTTTCATGTTGGCAGCCTTACAAAGATTCACTAACGTGAAATTATAATCACCCACCATGGCGTTGCAAGGAACTGAGTGGGTAGCACCGTGAAAAGACAGAGGAAGATGAATAAATCAATGTCCTCATGCCCTATTTATAGTAGTCCACTGCCAAGGAATTCCAGAAAATTTATTTATTGTACCATTAAGTAATCATAAATGTTGTTGGTTATCATAAATAAGATTCCCTTATTCTTATTACAATTGTCACTTTCAAGAAGCAATAGAATAAAAAAATTAAATATGTACATGGAAAACATGTCAACATGAATCTGAGAAGAATCCAATGCTCAGAAGACGTGACATGACAATATGGGAACCACTAGGAAACTAATTGATGTGGGACTCTGACAGCTAGTTGTCGACTCAAAGAAGTTGACTTAAGAAGTTACAACCCACAAAGAGATAAATTGATCTGTATCAGAAGTCGTGCAAATGAAGCCAGTAAGCTTCTCTAGTAACTCAAGTTCACTGGTGATGTATATACATCCACCAGGCAATTTCTCTGGAAGGTAGGTCATCAGCATCCAACTAACTTCATAATAGCGACCAACAAACTACACCCATGTCGCTTGTTAGTCAGATGGTCCCTCTAAAATAGATGACCGACAAGATTGGTCGCCTCATCCATGTCATCCAACTCAACAAGTTGTAGACACCCAAGAGATCCCTGAATCAAAGTCAAATATCTATCCATAGAGTAGGGGTTTCTTTGTAATTTTATGAGTCATACCTCATTTGTCTATAAATAGGAGACTATTTGGAAAATAAAGGTAGCACAATCTTAGCCAAAAAGGTCGAGAATGGTCAATATACTCATTCTAACTTACTGTTTATTCTCTCTCTCTCTCTCTCTTTCTCTCTCTCTCTCTCTCTCCCCTCCCTCTATTTGGTTTTTTGCTCTTTTCCTTAGGTGTGACCCACAGAAAAAATTCGGATTCAACAATTTTATTAATGCAAACTTCATACTTGAAAATTTTTTGAAAAGTCAATTTTATCACTTCAATGAGAGAAGGCTTTTCTTTGACAGCTAATATTGCCAAGACATATGGAGAGACTGGATTCTCCCAACAATCAATTGATGATAGAGACCATGCCTATTTTTAGCCTTGACAATTCCAACTTGGTCTTCACCAACATTCACTAAATCCAACACATATCTTCTCATCTCAAATATCTCATTTAATCGTTTGATTGACACCATATATATTGTCATCTTCTTGATTTATGAACCAAAGAAAGCTATGCATAAGTATTCCAATTATTGGCATGGGGAGAAAAAGAAAGAGGATTTTCTAATCCAATTCTGATTAAAATAACTTTTTAAATATTCAGTTAATTTATTTTTATGTAAACATAGTATATGAGTAATTAACTCTTGTATTCTAATCATTGTAAAGCAAACTAAAGAGATGTAAAAATTATCTTCTCTAAATTTTGTTAGAATATTCTCACATAATTTATATTATATCTCATTTCAATTCTTGAAGTTATATATATTATATATATATATATATTACATTGTTTTAAATTTTGTTTTGCTCCAAACTAGAAAAAAAAAATCATAAATTTATTTACAAATGACCCAACAAATCGAAATATTTTAAATAACATATTTATTCCAGAGACATTTGATAACCAACCAAATTCCAATCATTTAATTTACATTGCATTATAATAGGCATACATTTTTAAACACTTTCAATCAAACAATCCATTTAACAAACTAATAAATACAAGCGGAGCATGAGATAGTCACCGCATCATTTTTCTTGAATTTCCAATCCACGCTCCATCCACCAATGCTCGAACTTCAACACCAATCCAATTTCAAATTGGAAAAACATAAAAGGAAAAAAAATCCAAATCATCCATAATACAAATTTATTGACAATTACAAATGACTAATCTGCAATGCCAATCTCTCATGCTGTTTGATTATAACAAGCCATTCTTAGAGGAAGATGAGGATCAGAGAAAGTCCCTTCAGATATTTGATCAAAAATCCATTTGTTAGCAGCTTCAGTGTAATGAACTCCATCCCAGTTGACGCGCTTAAGGGGCTCTTTGCATGAGTTTGCAAGAACAATTTCCGTTCCATTTACCACAGTTTTGGATCCACAGCCTATTGTCTTGTTGTAGTTGTAAGCTCCACCATGGCCACAACAAGCCATTAGTGGGTGCTCAAATCCTATACATGGCAAAAATAAAAATATGAAGAAAAACATGTGAAAAAATTTAAAAGGTTAAATTAAGAAGACATAAGTTTTTCAGAATGATTGGCAACAAATATATTCTATGTTTCGAGCAATAGTTAGACATGAACAAATGAAAAATATGAATTCATAAAGCTAATACAATTAATTAGGTAAGTTTAATGATGATTATGTTTTTTAATGATAAAATCATTCAAATATTTAGTATTATTGGTATATCAGTGTTATCTACATATGTTAATTTTATAACAACTAGTCAACAATCATTATCTTACGGAAAAACTATCAAAATGTTCCTTAACACTTTTTGCATATTTTTTTAGTAGGACGTGAAATTCAGCCCCAATTTAAAGTATCTGTCGTCAAATTTGGCACTTTAATAGGCTTTGGGACTAAAATAACCCAACATAAATAGTTAGGGCACTATTTAACACTTTTACTCGTTATCATATAGTAGGTTTAGATTAGTATGCTGATGAAGGCCTATACAAGGAATGGAGATAAGGATTCACCAAACCTACAGTTTATATTTTTTAACAAACTAGTTGTATTTATTTTTGATGTTCATGCATTATACTAAACCCAAATACAAGAGCCGAAGGAGATGCCTTCAAATTATAAATAAATGATTAGATATAAAATAAAAAGTTAGTCTAGGTGTGAAATAATGGCCAGACACCAAGAAAAGTACAATAGGCCTAAAAATTAATCCAAATTCAGTATAATCTGATTTGCACATAAAGGGTGAAATAAATAGCCCGCTGTATACATAAATGTAAAAAATTTACAACTACTAAACAAAAAAAAATTAATCTGACTTACCATACTTTTTTGCATAGCTAATGAGCCTGTACTTGTTGGAGTAGATATCAACATAGGTGAAAGATGCAAGAGGAAGATCCTTTCTAAGCTGTATTACAGTATCATTTAGCATTGAATTGAATAGCTGAGCCACCTCATTGAAGGGAACTCCACAGCCCTTATCATCTACCTCAGGAGCTCTCAAGGTCAGCCTATCCAAAACATAAGGAAGACAGCCAAAAGGACCTGTATTGTGGATCCAAAAGTATCTCCCACCTTGCCAATAAATACTCTACAGAAAGGAATTGATCATAAATATTCCAAAGAGATGAATTTTGTTGCTTATAAAATTGATGTGAAGTAAAATGTGGGTAAGATAATGTTTGGTTGGAAGTGAGCTAAAATGTTCTGAAAGATGGATGGTATACTTGATGTCTATCTTTGGTTGGAAGTTGTTAGAATTTAAGTTTTTATTTTTTACTCATAAAATGAATTAATAACAAAATATAATTTTTTTAAAATATAATTTCTTTTAAAAAATCAATCAAATGAGCCCATATGTTTAATTGGTTTGGTGATTGGACGTACACTGCATAATTTTCTAGGGCTTATTCAGTGCGTTGATCGTTTTCTATTATCCAACCGGAAGTTCTTTTATGGACAACATATTCTTTAGGCTGCTGTAAAATATCACAACTTTTTTTGAAGCAAAAGATCATTAACTCGCACCCAAACTATAAGTGCATGCTTTCTGAAATTTTTTCAAACAGAAAAGCAAGCAAAAAACTAATGCGAACCACCGGAGTTGCCTCATTTGTACATCTTTTATGCTAGCTTTTCAAAATTAAGTTTTGTTTTGTGCAAAAATGCACTTTATAAATCCCAATTTGCATGCGCACCCTCTCTACAGCTTCGCGGACTAAGTAAATACACTACGGAGCAGCACACTGTGCCCCTTTCATTCTAAAAAAAATAAGTCCATAACAAAAGACTTAACATTTAGGAGGTAAATACAGCATAACCTAGAGATATAACCTCTTGAAAGGATTTAAATTTCTTTGTTAGAAAGATTTCCATTGAAGGCTTGCTCCAGGGTTCGTCTCTCCCTTAAGGGAGAGAACATTAGATTAAAACTGGTAGCATGACATTTCTTATAAATTGGTCATTATAATAGTTCTTTTGGGAGATGAGAAGACAATACACTCAAAGTGCTCAATGGTTTTGGTTTGGGAATTGAAGAGTAGCCAGATCAAGAATTCAAGGTTTCATTATCCTGAGGAATCATGGATCCTAATTCACTTAAATAGAGGAGATAATCGACCAAATCTAATATAAAAATCCTTATTAGCAGTCATAGGTTACTTAATTTCATAAAAATGGGGGTGAAAGCTGACTAAGTAGCAAAGTTTAAAAAGACAAGAGTTAATATGAGAGCTTTATACTCTATCAAATGCATCAAGCAGAACTAAAAGCTTAGATGTATGACAATACACACTTTTTGGGCTGTAACTATATGATGGTAACATCTTTAAAATTAGATTAACCACTCAGGCCAAGAGCATGTGTCACATCCTTATTGGAGAAGAATTTTGAGCTTGATTTGGTTGACCATAGTGATATGGCATGACTCCTTTCAAAGCTTAGTGATATTAGAGTTAACCCAAATAATAATAAACAAATAATAATTCTTACTGAAAATACAAATAGGCGGTTATAACCAACACAATGAAATAAAAAAACAATAGACACTAGATTTTTATGCCATAGGGGAGGTGGCTGGTGGCAGTTGGGTAGGCTGGATGGTTTGGTGGCAACAAGGGGGTGATGATGGCAGCGAAGGAAAGGTGAGAAAATGTCGGAATAGTGAGAAGGCAGGCTGTTATGAGCGGTGGTAGCAAGGACGAAGGCCTGACAGCAGTAAGGCGACACGGGGAATGGTTTTAGGCTGCCGAAAAAGTATTAGAACAGCCAGGAACGACAATTTGAGGCTACGTCGGCGAGGGGGAATGACGGAAGAAGAAACAAGGAATGTGTGCACTTCGAGATAGCAAAAGAATGGTTGTCCTGGCGGTGCGGTAGCATGAAGGTTGACTAGACAACGATGAAATGCAGGAAGAACAACAAAAGGATTGCTGTCAGGTCTGGCTGCAGCAAGGATGAATGTGTGGCAGTGGAGCGGGAGAGATATAGAGTAGGGGAAGGCTAAATCACTACCTCTAGAGCGAGATACAGTTGGAGTATACTCAATCCTTGGAAAGTAATCACCACCTTGGAACTAGATATAGTCGGAGCACCACTCTCCCATTGATTTAACCCTAGAAGAGAAAATAAGGATACTGATAGTTGTACTAAAAAAAACACAATAAAAGTTGAAACCTAAGAACAACAAAAACACATAGATAGCACTGGGGTAATTAGAAGGAATGTGTGGCAGTGAAACGGGAGAGATGTGGAGGAGTTGAGAAAGGCTAAATCACTACCTCGAGAGCGAGATACAGTCGAAGTACTCTCGATCCTTGGAAAGTAATCACCACTTTGGAACGAGATATAGTCGGGGCACTACTCTCCCATTGATATAACCCTAGAAGAGAAAATAATGATACTGATAGTTGTCCTGAAAAAAAACACAATAAAAGTGGAAACCTAAGAACAACAAAAACACATAAATAGCACTAGCGTAATTAGGAGTGCACACCAATCCAGAAGTAGTGACGCTTTCCCGAATCTGGTCCAGAGGAAGTGAAGTTTCCCACACCGAGCCCAAAAGAAACAACATGTTCGACCTCATCATTCAAAGCTTCTGTCTCTTCATAGTATGGAATTAGATCAGGCACGTTGAAAGTGGCAGAGCTATTGCAATCTCACGATAAGTCAATCCTCTCTCTGTCATTTCAAAGCACATCGTGTAGAATAAGTATCCATCAACTTTTGGCGCAATTGGAGCTGGCACTATATATAAATGAGTATTCTCACAAATTAAGTCTACAACCAATATATCAGTAAATTGCTTCTCCCACCTCTAGTACTATGGTGGGTGCATATGATAAACAAAGATGTAATGTGGAACCAATTATAGGATGAAATTTGTGGTTGTCTGGGCAACTCTTAATAGTAACCACTCGAAAGGGACCTCTTCTTCTCTGGTAAGACCTGGATGCCATTGTAGGACGTTTTTTCTCACAAAGCTCCTAAGGCGATTCGCAATGTAGTGGTCCATACATCCTATTTGATCACATATCGGGGGGTACACTGCTGAATTGACTTTAATACCCAGATAACTCTAATAGTCTTCCCGAAATAGTACACAGGGTTCCATCTTTGACATGTTGGACTACTTTTAGAGACAACCACGCAATACGTGAACTGTCATACAGGATGTCTGGCAATTACATCAATAACAATAAGAGAACAAATATTATTATTGAAAAATAAAATGGGCGGTTACAACACACAAAGAATTGGAAAAACAATAGACACAACACTCAACTAAATTTGTATTCCATAGGGAAGGTGATCGGTTAGCGGTTGGGAAAGCTGCATGGTGGTGCTGTAGCAAGGGGTTGATGATGGCAGCAAAAGAAAGGTGAGAAACTGTCGGAACAACAAGAAGGCTGGCTATTATGGATGGCAGCAAGGATGAGTGACTGGGAAACGGTAAGGCGGCACAGGAAACGGTATTGGGCGGCCGGAACAGTAAAAAAACAGCTAAGAACAACTGTTCGAGGCTGCAGCAAAGAATGAGAATGACGGAAACAGTGTCGGGGAATGCGTGAAACTTCTAATTCCATTGAGGTTGAACTATGTTTTGGGGAGTTAAGGGATAGGTTATGATTTCTTCGATTGAATTGAGGTAGAATTGAGTTTGATTAGCCATTTTATCATTCCAAGAAGTTGTTTTAATATGTTAATGATGGTGAAACTTCTCATGAGCTAGGCATTTCATGCGATGTTCAATGTCTTACATAATAACATTTTCAATTTTCTTCGTTTGTGGGGCATGTTAGAGGTGCCTTGGTGCTAGTATACTTTGTTTCATCGCCCGTTAGAAGCTTTCCAAGCCATGAATTAGTTTTTAGTTTTTTTTTTCTTTTTTTTCTTTTTTTTTAGCGTCATTAGAGACGTTCATACTAATCTGGAAGGTTTATTTTTTTTGTATCAACGTATCATGGTAACATTTTTTTATTCATATTTTCATTTTATGAAATTGGTTATCTTTAGAGATAGGAACGAGTTCAGTCCATTTTGCCCCATTAGTGATCAAAGGATTGTTAATGGAGTTACAGAAACATATTAGCTTAGAGGTCTCTGCATTCTCATGAATCTTGACATGACTTCATCGTTGACCTAGGTTAGGAGGTGGTTTGAAACTTAAAACAGCTTATGGTCAACGGTGTGGTGGGTGATGAGCAACGCTAGGACATTTTTTGAAGATCAATATGCACCACTTAAATAACTACTTCTCAAGGCAATAATAACTTTATTCTCCATCAAGGGTTGATCATGTTTAGATTATAAAGACCTCAAGTCATATTGTCCATGTAGAAAACAATATATGTTTTAGGTTAAAACTACCCTGGACATTGGTAACTTAAGGTCAGAACTACAACATCACTTAGCTTAGGGGTCTCCATGCATATTACTATGGCCATAAGGTGTATTATGCTTCTTGACGATGAAAGCACTTCACAGAAGCATTAAAATGGTAAAATATGAGGTAATCTCAAGTCATACTGTACATGTATAAAACTATATATGTTATAGGTTAAAACTATCCTGAACATCCGTAACTTTATGTCAGAACTACATCACTTAGCTTAAGGATCTCCATGTATATTACTATGTTCATAAGATGTACTATGCTTCTTGATGATGGAAGCACTTAAGAGAAGCATTTTACCAAGGGTATTTCAGTCAAGAAACCTTTTTAACCTTCTCCCTGTAGGGATTTCCTCCTAAGTCATTGTGCTACATATTTTGACAAGGCTTTATTGTGGAGGTGGAATTGTCTTTCGCTTGAACTTAAGAGGCCTAGTTTTGCAGAGAGAGGGTGGGGAGGCTCCTTTGAATTGGATAATCTGTGGAAGTCAAAATTGGGTTTGGGTCAAGTTGAAATTAGGTAATCAGACAAAAATTAGTCTGCTCAAAACTTCAAGACGACATGTGAAATAGTTATGGGTTTGTTAACTTAGCTGAGGCCTACTAAGACTCAGTGGAGGTTCATTAAGCTGTTTAATAAAAAATTACAAAAAATTTTGCTATTTTGTGAAAGTCAATTTTAGAGTTGGCAAGGATCTGTTGAGTTAGCAATGTCTCACTAGCCTAATCGAGATGGTTCACTAACATCATCTCTTACTGATTGCATCGTGGCCAACTTCCATGCTTTTACAAACTTAAGCCAACACTTGGTTGATCAAGAATCATTCTAGCAAAGCTGTTTGGTATATTAGTGTATTTGGTAGGTTTGTTAGATTATTGTTTGGCTAAGTAGGCTTGTTGACCCTTTGAGTTAAAAGTTTATGAGGAAATAACCTGTGACACGTTTTGTGTTTTTCCCTAACTACTCTCACCCAAAAGCATCAATGTGGAATCCCTTTAGGCAACACTATATTGATTTAAACCCAGTTTATGGAGCTCATTTGTAATTAAAATGTTTTAAGCAGGTAAGAAATTAGAGAATGATGGTTACATTTTATATAAAATAGCAAGTGTAAAACAGAAATACATTAGTAGCAAATCAGTGAGTTTAACTACAAAGGCTTCATTTTACACTAAATAAAATCTTATTGTATCAAACTTCACCATTTTCATTGGATTAATTTCCTTGAATAAAAAAGCAATCAAATGTCAAAAAATGATTATTTCATTCACTTAAAAACCATGAGAAAATAAGGTCATTATAAAAGAAAATTTTAAACTTAAAATTTCAAGTTGAGTGCTAATTCATTCAACCAAATCATAGAAATTTAGCAAAATTTTTTATGCAGGGAATCTCCTGCTTATGAAGAGGATGCGGGATCGCGCAATCTCATGACCACGCACGTGCCAGACTCATTCAAATAGCCCAGAGACAAACTGAGCGGCCCTGTTTCGATCCCTTTTCAAATTTTAGCAAGTTTCCTCGTTTGTTTTATTCAATGGAGTCCTTTCCTATAAATGTGTTTTATTAGGGTTAGAATGCAGTTTTCTGTGTTTTCTTTTAGGACAGCCGCTAATGTCTAAGATTTTCCCTTCTAGGGATGTGTCCAAAGGCGAGAAAGTGCTTCGACTGTAACTCGGCCAAGGTGGTGATCTCCTTCTAAGAGATAAAGTGGTGCTTCGGCTGCAGCTCATTTGCGAAAGGGTATTCATCCTTCCCTAACACCTCCACAATTATTCCAGTCGCCTCCATTTCCTTTCCCTCCCTCCTCTTCGCTTTCCCTAGTCCCAACCCTCCACCTTCGCCAGCGCCACAGTTTTCTCCCTCGCCTGGCGGTTTTAGCTGCTATCCAGCTCTCTGTACTTGCTACAGCCTCTAAGGACAGCTGCTTTCTTGTCTATTCCCTGCAGCCTCGCCACCCAGCCACCTCTTTCAGTCATTCCACCCACCCCCTTCGCTGCTACAATCCTCAGACAAACCTCCCTTCTCAGTCCTGCAATCCAATGCCTTCCCCCTTCACTGCCCTTCGATGTCCCAACTCTGCACTTTGCTGCCCCCTCGCTGTCTATTTCCTGCAGCCTCGCCACCTAGCCAGATCTTTCAGTCATTCCAGCCAGCCCCCTCACTTCTACAGTCCTCAGACTGACCTCTTTTTTCTGTCCCACGGTCCAATGCCCTTCCTCATCACTACCCCTCACTGTCCCAACTCTCCATTTTTCTGCCCCTCGCTGTCTCAACTCTCCACTTTGTTGCCTCTGCCATTCCAAGCACTCCACTTCGCTTCTGATGCAATGCCAGCCCTCCTTTTGTTGTTCCAGCAACCCACAACGCATGTCAGCCTCCTACCGCCACTCCCACACCACCTAGCTGATCTCCGCCACAGATCGAGCCCTAATGTGCATTTGTGTCGTGTTTGGTATCATTTTCCTTTCAAGTGTGTTTATTTGTAACTACCTATTTGCTTTTAGATAATATTTATTTTTTCTATTATGGTTTGAGTTCATTCTAGTATCATTTGGTATCAAAGTTAACCTAAACCTAGTCTTATTATAGCGTTTATAGCATCTACCATGCCCAAACCTATCTCCACCCTCTCCACATTTTTTTCCGCATCCAATATTACCATTACACACCTCCTTGCAAATACCCACCCCAAACCCTAATCATGCCTTCGAGGAGAAAAGCGTCAGACGCCGATCAGGAGTTTATCATAGAAGAGATACATCGACAACTCCATTGAGTGTTACAATGACCAGATGAAATTGGGAAAGAAGATCATTCAGAGTGGTCACACAAGTTCCATTCAATCCCCGAGATGAAGAATCAACATCTCGAAGATTTACCATGAAATATTGGAGAAGCCAGAATGTTAAAGTCAAGGTGAATCTACCTTATTATGGTCAATTGGATTCGAACTAGGTCGTCTAGTTGCTTCAGACTGTGGAACTTTTCATTGAGTACCAGGACATCTCATCGGACGAAATGGTGAAACGAACCGCCAACAAGTTAAAGAAGAGTGCATTATTTTGGTGGCAAAAATTTGAAGCACCTACGCCAGTGCAAGGAAAAAGATAAGACCATTACTTGGTCCAAGATGAAATGGGAGATGCAACATCAGTACCTACCAGCTCATTATAGACATGATGTGTAAACCCTAGCTTCAAAAATGGAGAGAGAGCATTATCAAATGACCACCACATCTTGCAACTTAGTTCAACCCCAGCATCTTACAACAAGAGTACTCAAAGGAACATCCAAGCAAACCACACCAAAGAAACCTCTAGATCAGAGAGGAGAACAGGTGGAAGTAATCCGCAATCCCAAATCTTCACACTAGGATGTATTTCAAGTGCCTAAATTTGTGCATACCGAATAAGATTGCACATCCAGAAGAACGATCTATTTCATGGATCAGAGAGTATTAGAAGAAATAAACTGTGATCCGAATAAAGATGAAGATTTCAATGAGGATCCTCAGCTTCCAGCCGATGAGAAAGAGACGGCAGAGATTCCAATTGAACCCAAGAGAGATACTTTGGCAGAGTTGACAGTAGCTATCCTAGAAGGTAGTTAGTCTAAGATAATGGGCATCATATAAAGTATGAGATTGTGGTGCCTTGAGCTACTGTTTTGCTGACGATGAGAAGATCACCAACAACATTAAATGTGCAAATGGAAAATGAGTTTGAGGAGCCAATATTAGACATAGAACAACCATAGATAGTACAAATTCAGACATTTTAGATCTATATATTACTTCCTGAAATGCCCCTGTTTAGAAAGGTTTAGTATCTCCGAGAAGAGACATTTTTGTGCCACTTCTAGAAGCTCATAGAGAGTCGTTGGGGTATTAAATTTATATCAACAGCATACCCACCGACAAATGATCAGACATGAGAGATGACTTGTATTATAAATTGCCTTAGAAGCTTAGCAGGAAGGAAAATTCTACAGTCGAATGCATACCCATTAAAAGAAGACGAAGAAGAGGTTTTTTAGAGTTGTTGAAATTCAGTGTGGTTCAGTCTATCATAGATTTTATTTTAGAGTTGATCCCTTCTGATAGACTTGTCCATCAGATGAATTCAACAGAGTACAAGAAGTGAGAGATGAAGGTTATAGATGTAAGGGCCCGAGAATAACCTTGCGAGAATCTACAACTATATGCCGCTCCATCTCAGTTTGTGCCAAAATGTAATAGATTTTTTTTCTATCAGAATGTGCTTTGGAATGATAACACATGCAGAAGTGATTTACCAGGAAGTTACAATAGCTCCATCACCTTCAACGTGGCCGATTTGACGCCATACCATGAGAAGTTAGAAGCTTCGACATATGAGGTCGAAGCTCTCCCAACCTCGGGAAACTGAAGTTGGGCACTTCCCGCTTACGAAACGAACATGGAATAGTGTGATCCCATGACCGTGAGCATACCCCATCCACGCAAATAGTCTAAAGGCAAACCAAGTGGCTTTGTTTTACTTTCCAATTTATAGCAAGTTTTCCCCTTTCCTTTCATTTTCATATAGTGCTTTCCTCTATAAGAGTTGTGTTATGGCTTGATTGCAGTTTCCTTGGTGTTTTCATTCAGGACAAGCACTGACGTCCAGGGCTTTGCCTTCTAAGGTTGCATCAAAAGGCGAGAAGGTGCTCCAGCTATAACTGTCCTAGGTGGTGATTTCCTTCATAGGAATTGAGTAGCGTTGCGGCTGCCTCTCATTCCCGATGAGGTATTTATCCTTCCCCAACACTTTCACAACCTTTCCAATCGCCACCATCGCCTTCCCCTCCCTCCTATTAACTTCCCTCGCAGTACCAACTATTCATCTTCACCACCGCTAATGTTCCCTCCCTCGCCTAGCTGTTTCTGCCGCTGTACAGCCCTTCGTATTTGCTGCAGCCACCCAGGATAGCAGCCATGCTGTCTTTTCCCTGCAAGCCGTCACCCAACAACCTCTTTCAGTCATTCTAGCCATCCGCCTTGCGGCCTCAGTCACCAAACAGCTCTCCCTTTTCTGTCCCGCAGTCCATACCCTTCCCCTTCGCTGCCCTTCGCTGTCCTGACCCACCACTTCACTCCCGCTGCCATTCTAGGCCTTCAGCTTCACAGCTAATGCAATTCCAGCCCCTCATTTTGCAGTTCCAGCATCCCAAAGCCCATTTCAGCCTCTAAACACCACTCCCCAACCACCAAGCCAATCTCCACCACCGGATTGAGCTCTAATGTGTGTTTATGTCGTTTGTTGTAATTTCCCTTTCAAGTATGTTTAGTTGTAATCACCTATTTGCTTTTAGTAATACAGTTTGTTTTCTCTATTGTGTTTTAGGATAACTCCGATATCAATTGCTCATATTGTAAAATATAAATTTTTTATTTCAATTTATAAGAGCATCCAAAATCAATCCAAACCTTTATTGCAATAGTGAACTGATCGAGAATGTCAGGAATATTTGCTTTAACTTCCTCAGTTGTCATTCCAAGGAAATAGCCTGCTGTGAGATCATTCTGACCAATGTCAAAAGTGTAAAGCGCCTTCGAGAAAAAATCTTCACTAGGCAACAAATCTCCAAAAATTCCCCCTGTATGTTTTTGAAATTGCAAATTTACAAGAACCAATAATAAATTGATTGTGATGGGAAACATAGAACTTTAATAAATACAAAATGGATAATGCTTACCTTGTGAATAGAAAAATTGGGATCTGGACTTGAACTGAGTAAACTGCCAGGTTTGAACATCCAAGGAGAAGGGACTATAGCCACTTTGAAAAAGTGTTGTATTTTGTCTCCTTATTGTTGAACCAGCAGTAGCAAAATTGGCTCCATGTGAGAAATTAGTCCCAATTGAGTTAAGATAAGCACTTAATAAAGGAAGGCCGAGGCTTTCAGCTGAGAAATTTTATATAATATATTGATTAAATGGTTGTTCTCAAATATATAAAGCTTCTACATAAAAGTCTGGCCACTGATTTCAGAAACTAAGGTGCAGACTAGCAGAGCTCGTGCGGGGTCAATCTTTATTAGGTTCAGTTTGTTAGGAAAACACACAAAGATTCATTGTAATTCAGCTTATTTGCTTAGTGAGTCAAACACAAGATAATCGCAAAAAACAAGAATAATTAAAATAAAGATGGCAAACATGTACGGATATATTATATAGATAACTTTCCTTCACCTAAAAGGAGAATCATTATTCTCACTTTTTAGCTTTAATGTTATAATGTTCAAACAAAACATCAAAACTGCTTAATTTTGTTAACGTCATTAAAAGTAGAGAGATGCATGATTCAAAATCCTTTAAATTTGCTTGATGGCTAATCAAACGCTTCAAAATTATTTCAGCTTATAGTTTTGGTTGTACAAGAAGGCCATTTCATGTCAATAGGTAGAGACTGTCAAATAATTTAGAATTAAAGATATGGCCAATAAATGATACTTAAGGTGTATTCGGTGATTTCGATAATTTGATTGGTGAAATACATTAGTAAAATTAGACTTTTAAATGACTTTCTATTTTTTGACATTATTCTTGGTTGATTCATCTTTTAACTAATATATAAATGATGAAAAACAATAACTTTCAAATCATAGGCCACAAACAATACTGTGAAGTTAAGATTGAATATTGTTAAAAATGGCAGAAGCAAAAAGGAAAAAAAAAAAATAATAATTTAAGTTGAATGAGCATATTTGCTTAAAAAAGAAAATCAACTATTTCTTGCATATATATTTTATATTTTAGCTCTTTAATTCTAATCTATTTAAAATTTATAATTGATAGTGAAGGATGTGTGAGATGAAATAACGCTTCTTCTAATGGATGATGGTATAATTCTCTCTCTTATATTGATATACTAACATCATCACGAATCTATTAATGTTAGGATCAAAGCGCCCAACAGAGTGCTCCAACCTAGCACCACATCCTTTTCTAGATATAGTGATTGGACGTTCTACGCCTTGAATGGGTGCAGTTGCGCCGTGGTCTGTTCATTTTCATATTTGAAAACAGAGACACTGGAAAATTGAAGCTTGGAATGGGCGATCTAGTGCTCAAAAGAACGACTCAAGACGGAGCGTGTAGAAAGACGACGCCCAGGAGTGGCACTCCAGTGCCAAGGGCAGTTTCTCTTCTGATTGAGATTTAAGTACTCGACTTATATATGAGGAAGGTATCTCTCTCGGTATTGTGTAATAAGAGTGGGATTGAGCTAGCGATGCTGCAAGTTATGTGTTATAAATTTTTGCAATCTACTCTTGCGCGATCAAGAGAGGAGCATTCACGAGTTTTAGGCTTGTAGAGAGGAACTCTGAGTGTGATGTAATATGTATATTTCTCCTCATTTCATAGTTGAATCGTTGGTTTAGTTTGACTTCTTAATTATTTCTTGCTCTTAGGTGTTTTTACATTAAACGATTGTTCACATGCATAGCACTCAAAAAATTGCTATTTACAAATCTAGCACTCTCTTTAATCCGTTTTTCAAATTCTCAAATATTAAAATTCATGATAAAGCTTCACCCCACATTTTCTTTTTTTATCAAATTATCAATGGTTTGATCGTGGCATGCATAAATACATCCATTCGGTAGTTCAAAAATATTACCTAGGTGCTAGATTTTGTAAGTAGCAATATTTCAGATGCTATTTATGTATTTATCCACATTAAATCTTCTATGCTTTTCTAGATTTCCTATGTTATAGGCTTCCATTCAACATTTGTTCCAGATCTCTCGAATCGTTGTGTTTTTCCACGATGTGATTTGATTGTGAATCAATTGAATCCAATCTCTCCATCCCAAGAAATGGTATCAAAGCAGGGTTTTCTGAAGATCTTTGAATCGAGTGAAGCAATGGTCGATGAAGTGAAGTACAATATGGAAAGGTTCAATGGTTTCAACTTTTTGTTATGGAAAATGTAAGTTGAAGATTTATTATATACAAAAAATGTAACTGACGCTGGTGGAAGGAATCATCAAAAAGCCTAAATTAATGACAATAGAAGAATAGAAAGTGCTTGATCGAACAACAGTAGGTTTGATCCATTTTTCAATTTTCTGAAATGTTGCTTTCAATACTGTCAATGAGAAAACTACGGTGGATTTAATGGCCGCACTGAAAAAGATGTACGAGAAACCTTCTGCTTCAAAAAAGATTTTTATGATGAAGAGATTATTCAACATGAAGATTATGAAAAGGGAATTTGGTGGTTGGACATTTGAATAATTTCAACATGATGACAAACCAATTGTGTTTCGAGGGCATTAAATTAGATGATGAGGTCAGAGCATTACTAATTCTATCTTCATTGTCTAACAACTAGAATTGACTAGTTATTAAAGTGATTAACTCTTCAGGCAAAATGATGTAAGACTTTGATCACATCGTTAGGTTAGGGGTGAATGAAGAGTTTGCAAGAAGGCAAATGGTGAAACTTCAAATATTATGTTGATGTTGAAAACTAGGTAAGGAAATCAAGACAGAACTATATGCAAAGAAAGATTAAAGTTAAGGAGAGAAAAGTCCAGGTTAGAAAGAAGAAATGGCATAGGTGAATGTTGAAATCGCAAGAAGAAATGTCATTTTAAGAACTGTAAATTTCCGAAGAAGATTGGTGGTGGAGGTCAAGACAAAATCTCTCTACAAATGTTTCCATAGTCAAAATACAACTTGAAACCCTAATTTTATTCATAGACAGAAACTTGGATAATAGATTTAGGTGTGTCTTTTTATGCTTGCAAAGAGGTTTAAGAACTACACTCAAATGGATATAAGAAATGTGCATTTGGGAGATAACAAGACTTGCAATATTGAAGGAAAGAGAGAAAGAGTGATGTTAATATCACTTTGTCAAATGAAATAATCTGGAAGCTTGGTGAATTTAAACATATTTCATGTTTGAAAAGAAATGTTGATGTGAATGTTCGATTGTTCAACAAACTAAAGATGTTTAATTATTCAATATATATTCATATTGATGTAGGATATATAAGTTTGACTAAAAATTTATCAAATGCACATTCGTTAGATATGATTCAAATGCATTTGGGTACAAATTTTAGGACTATCAGAATCAGAAGTTCATCTGTATCAGAGATGTGATATTCAATAAAATGAAAATGTATAAGAGCTAGTACAAAACTCAAAATTATCAATCAGCTACTTTTGAAGAGTCCGCCAAATATGTTGAGAAAAAAAATAATGGTGATTAGGAAGATGAAGAAAGGAGATGTGCTCAATCTAATGAAACACTAAAAGTTTCCAGATACTTACTCTTAATGTTAAAAGGCTCAATAGAGTGACACAATCGATACAAAAGTAGTCTCATTCATTCTACTATCTTTTGCTAACAAATGGTGAAGAAATAGATTACTATGAAGAAACAACTCGAGCTATAGATTCAAATGCGTGAGAGTTTGTTATGGATGACCAAATGCACTCATTGAGGTCAAATCGGACTTGGGGTTTGGAAGAATTGCCAGATGGCAAAAGGACACTACACAACAACAGATCTACAAGCTGAAAGAAAAGTTAGATGGTAGCAGATGCTTCAAGGAAAGACTTGTTGTGAAAGGGTTTCAACAGAAGAAAAGAGTGGACTGTATTGAGATATTTTCTTCCATAGTGAAGATGATAAGCATCAGAGTTATGTTGAGCTTGATAACAAAGAAAAATTTGGATAAATGTAAAGATGACCTTTTTATTTGGTGATGTGAATGAGGAACTATATATAGTGCAACCACAATGTTATGAGGTTCTGAAGAAAGAAGTCATTGTCTGCGGTTTGAAGAAAAGCCTTTGTTGTTTGAAGTAGGCCACAAGGTAGTGATACAAGAAGTTTCACAAGTTCATGTCAGACAGTGGGTACATGAAATGTAGTGCATATCATTGTGGCTTCATTAAAAAAAATTGATAATTGATATATCTATTTCTTTTATATGTGGGTGACATGCTGATTTTCAAAGCAGATAAAAGAAGATCAAAGACTTGAATAAGCAATTGTTAATGAAATTTAAGATGAAAGATTTATGCTAAATCAAGAAGATCCTTGGGATGAGAATTACATAAGGGTGTGAGTTAAGCCGACTCGTGAGCCGGCTCGATAAGTGGCTCATGAACTAAACTCCATGAGCTAACAAGCCAAGATCAAGCCAGCCCCGACTCGACTCATTAGCTCGTGAGTCATCTAATTTAAACAAAAAAATTACTATAAAATATACTCAAAATATATTAAATTTCAAGATTTAATCTTTAAGGTATTAAAAATATTAAAAAAATAATATTTTGTGTTGTACATTAGGAGATTTCTTATTGTTTATCTCCTAACTGAGTAACTATTCATTCTATTTGTCACATTATTATAAAACTAGCTTAAATTATTATTACTTTCTCTCTTTAATATCAAACAAGTCGGGTCATAAGCCGGCTTGAACTTGTAGAATTAAGCTCAAGCTCGATAAAATTAGTCAAACTCAAGCAAAAGGTGGCTCGAGCTTGACTCGACTGATTTACACCCGTAGAATTAGCAGGACAGAAGTGCAGGTACAGTGAAGTTATCTCAGAGAGGGTATATTTATAAAGCCCTGCGAAGGTTTAACATGAACGAGATAAAACCAGTGTGCACATTTTTATGTAGTCACTTCAAACTGAAAGAAAAGTCAGATAGCAGCAAACGCAACAAAGCAAAATTTATTGTGAAGGCGCGTTAGCAAAATAAAAGAGCGGACTACACTAAAATTTTTTTTTCTGTAATGAAGATGACAACCATCAGAGTTATGTTGTGCTTAGTAGCAAAAGAAGATCAACATCTGGAGCAGATGAATGTAAGGATTATCTTCTTATATGGGGGTCTGGAAGATGAAGTATATATGGTGCAACCACAATGTTA